TCAAGGAAAAGGAGGAACATTCTAGACCAAGTAACAGAATATGCAAGAAGGTATGAATATCCACAAGACGGTATGAAGTTTGGGGCATGGTCACTCTAGGAAGGGACAGACTTGAAAATCTCTTAAGTAACTGGGATTAAACACGGAAAAGGAACTTCCTCACTGGGCAGGAGAGGCGCTGTTGAGTACCCGAGTGAAGCTTTCCAAAATACGGAGAACAAAAATAAGCTTGTCAGTGGCATAAATCGCACCCCAGCTCTCAGCTAGCATGAATAATGCATTGCTAGCGAAGGCGGAGTGGCGAGGAAGGCCGGGAGTGGGGACTGCCGCGGTCTAGCCCTTGGGGTGGGCGGGATGCTTCTCTGCTGCCGCGAGCAAACTCCTCCTCCTGGCCCAGCCATCGGGCGGGGGAAACCGGCTTTTCCAAGAAACGAAAGTGAACTCTGGGGAGCCATCTTGCGGCTCAAATGCGGGCTTGGCCGGCGCTATGGCTCAGGGACTCGGGGGACCTGCAGGTAAGCCCGCGGGGTCTGCATCCCCGCGTCCCGGCTTGTGGAGCGTGAGCTGCGTGGGTCGTGTGCTCCCTCATCAAGCCAATCTGTCCTTCTGGGGATTTGTATGCAGTTAGTTGTTGCAGCTTCGAACAATCGCAGGAATGAGGCGTGGGAGAAGATGGACCTGGGTCTGAGCCTGACCCGGAGGACCCAGGCCAAGGCAGACTCCCCTCCCCTTTCTGCTTAGGGCCGCTGATACCTCGCTAAGCTGCTGTAGCACTCCCCCCACCCCTCACTTGAGCAACTTTTCTTACCTTAAGGCCCTTCCTCTTTGCTCTCTTTGGACTTCCTGGAAAATTTAAGTTAGCTTTCAGGTACCCTACAGGGTTAGGGTTAGGGTGTCTTTCCGCAGCTTATGGGGTAAGCTGCAGTGGAATTCTGCTTAGCACTCAGTGAGAAATGCTGTTCTTGTGCTGCCTGCCATACACGAGTCCCTACTGCATGCAGTGTTCTGAAGAATCTGGATCCAGAGGGGTAGTGCTGTGTGCACCACTGAACGTGACATTCTGGCAAGCAATGGGGATGAAAACCTGATTCTTGGCGCCCAGGGCTGGCAGTGATGGAAAGGTTGAAGGCAGAGGGGTAGGAGAAAACTTTGGTGGAAGTAGAAACGTTCTTTGTCTTGGCTGGGTGGTGGTGGTAGTGGGTTTCTTTTTGGAGACCCTTTTTATGTGTTGCTTCGGTTGCTGTTGAAGCGTCTACAACTCTTTCGTCTCCAGTGCTGGGACTGCAGGCGTGCCCCCACGCAGGTTTACCCCTCCAGTTTTAAAAAGCTCTTTGGGATGAACCATGACCTCACGCTTGGTAGGCAAGCGTTCTACCAAAGTTTAAAAGTGTGTACTTTTAAAACTTAATTTTGGGGGGCATGGTGGCACATGCCTTTAATCCCCTGGCTCAGGAGGCACAGGCAGGTGGATCGCTGTGAGTTCAAAGCCAGCCTGATCTATAGAGTGAGACATTGTCTCAAGAAACCAACCCCAAAAGCCAACTTTTAATTTTATGGATGTGCACATATACATGTGCTCTTCTCTGGAGACCCGAGTCCCCCCAGGGTTGAGTCCTCACCTGCATCTTGTTTGGGACAGGGTCTCTTGTTGTTTCCAGGGTTGACCCTCGACCTTCCAGGAATTTTTCTTCTTGGTCCCCTATGTCCTCACAAGTCCTGCAATCACTGTGCTTATACCATGCATCAGGCTTATTTGTGGGTTCTAGAGATTCAGACTCAGGTCCTTAGGATTGTGCTCTTACCCACTGGGTCATCTTTCCAGCCCTTAATGTTGTATTTTATTTATTTATTTATTTATTTGGTTTTTCGAGACAGGGTTTCTCTGTGGCTTTGGAGGCTGTCCTGGAACTCACTTTGTAGACCAGGCTGGCCTCGAACTCACAGAGATCCACCTGCCTCTGCCTCCCAAGTGCTGGGATTAAAGGCGTGCGCCACCAACGCCCGGCAATGCTGTATTTTAAAAAGCCGTTCCCTAAAAATACTGAGGACATGCTTTTCCTTTGAGGAATATTCAGTCCCAGTAAGTGACTGTCAGCAGCTGTTCTCAATTGGTAATTGATTTTTAGGGGACATTTAGGGGTAAGAAGACAGAATAAGTAATTCCTTCTCTAGTCCTGCCTTCCCAGAATAACTCAGTAAATTCATTACTGTTTCTTTTCATTTTTGCACATACTGGTGCATGCTCACACATGTGTTTGTGCACACTCAATCACACACACACACACATACACTCTTGTGGGTTTTCCCTTTTTCTTAATAGAAGAAAGTATAACATACATGTACTCTGCCATTTACACTTTTAACATACACTCAAATTTCCTGTGGTCAGAGCACACGTGTAGCTATATGTGGTAGTGCATACGTTTAATCCCAGCACTTGGAAGACAGAGATAGATAGATCTCTGTGAGTTCGAGGACAGCCTGATCTACTTAGTAAGTTCCAGGACAGTCAGGGCTATATAGAAACCTTGTTTCCTAGAGAGGGAGAGACAGAGAGACAGACAGAGACGGAGGGAGAGAGAGAAATGCATTCAACATATGTTTAAAAACCTACTAATGTTCCATAGTATAAGTATACCTCAGTTTACTCAGCTATTTTTTTAACTAGGTGTCCATATTTGCTGAGAGAAGGCTCAGTGGTTAAGAGCAGTGGTCCTGTTTGGTCACAACCATCTGTGACTCCAGTCCCAGGGTCTTCTGGGCGCCAGGCACACATGTGATGTACAGATGTAGGAAAGCCCTCATACACATAAAATAAACTAAGTAAGTCTAAAGAGAAAGGCATTCGTCTAGACACCGACTTTAACCTCTCTGAAATGAAATGTCTTTTCCCCAGATTCACACAAAGAGCCAATCAGCAATCTACAGTCTCCGTTATTGAGCTCTGTGGTTGGGCTGCTCATTCTGTACTGTACTACCTCTTTCCCAAGCCCTGTGGGGTAGATGTGGATAACAGAGAGCCAGGGGTGATCTTGTTTGTGCAGACTTTAGTCCAGTAAATTTTTCTCAGAGCCGTCTGGCCTCTTCTAGAAAATGTTTTCACTCCCAGAAAAGAGATTCAAGACTTAGCAGTGACCTGAGTTACATAATAGTGACATTTGTAGGGTCACTAGACAAGGCATCATGTGGCTGACAGGTGAACATGGAAGTCACTGGTGTAGAAGTTAAGGAGCCCCATGGTGGGGTGCTGCAGTCATGATTAGGATGGGTAAGAGCCCCAGTCATGGCAGCGTGGGGAGCAGAAGGCTTGTCGGGGTCATCACATGACAAGGTTCTAGAGACTAAAGGGGCTGTGTGTCTTGCATCCTCCTCCTTTGTGTCCCGGATGAGCTCCTGAGCAGTAGCCAGTAGTGGACTAAAGTCACACTGGTGAGGACATAGGCCACAGCTCAGTCAGCTACCCTGCCCACTAGGAATCGGGAACAGCTTCCCAAGGCAGAAACTGGATGGGTGACAGCAACAGGCTCATATATGGCTCTAACTCAAGCTCTGTCCCCCATGTTGTCTTCTGCAGGGGTGTTCCCTCACCCGGCACGCTCCTACTTGGACCCCAGCTATGAGCATAGCAAGTGGAGACATCCACAGCCACATGGACCCGAGTCTTACCCCAGGAGTTTCCAGCTCCAGCAGATAGACTTTCTCAAAGGGCGGCTCCCAGAAGCACCTCTGATTGGACAGCAGTCCCAGTCACTGCCACCATCCCTCCCGGGACACTGGCCCAGGTTCCCAGGGCCACCTGCCCCAGGCAAGCAACTAGAAACCTGGGGTTTCCCCAGAAGTGTGCCTCTCAGAACTCAGGGGTTCCACACAGGACTCCCACTTCCTCTCGCATCCAGCAGGAGTCTGCCATGGAGAGGTGCTGACAGGCTTTGCTCACACTTCCAGGAGCTGAGCATCAGTCAGAATCCAGAGCAGAAGATCCTAGGCCGCCTGGAGGAGCTTGGTGAGGGGAAAGCCACCAGCGCCCAGGTCCTAGCCAGAGACCTCAGGGTTCCAAAGAAGGAGATCAATCGTATATTGTACTCCCTGGAAAGGAAGGGGAAGCTGCATAAAAGAGGGGGAACGCCTCCTCTGTGGAGCCTGGCACCCCCATATCAGTCTTGGACTCCACCCCCTAGAGCTGTGAATCCAGACACTTGTGGCCAGACAGCCCCTCGAGAAGAGCCTGGTTTGGGCAGTGAAGACGGAGACCGTGCCTCTGACCTAGAAGGACTTCCTGAGCCTCTTGACATGGCGGAGGTCAAGGAGAAAATCTGTGACTACCTGTTCAATGTGTCAAACTCCTCTGCCCTGAACCTGGCTAAGAACATTGGTCTCACCAAGGCCCGGGATGTGAATGCGGTGCTGATCGACTTGGAAAGACAAGGCGATGTCTACCGGCAAGGGGCCACGCCTCCCATCTGGTACTTGACGGACAAGAAACGGGAGAGGCTGCAGATAAAGAGAAGTACACACAGTGTTCCAGCAGCGGTCCCAGAGGCCACCAGAAGCACCTCACTCCCCACCTGCCACTCAACCCCATCAGGTGCCTCAAGTAGCCTGGCAACCCCCAAAAAAGTAGAGAATGGGCAGGAACCTGTGATAAAGCATGAAAGCAGGTATGAGGCCAGACCAGGACCGGTGAGACTGCGGCCACACGCTTACCACAATGGCCCCTCTAGAGCAGGGTATGTTGACTCTGAAAATGGCCAGTGGGCCACAGATGACATCCCAGATAACTTGAATAGTATCCGCACAGCACCAGGTGAGTTTCGAGCCATCATGGAGATGCCCTCCTTCTACAGCCCTGCCTTGCCACGGTGTTCACCATACAAGAAGCTGACCGAGTGCCAGCTGAAGAACCCTGTCAGCGGGCTGTTAGAGTATGCTCAGTTCACTAGTCAGACCTGTGATTTCAACCTGATAGAGCAGAGTGGACCGTCCCATGAACCTCGGTAAGAGACCACCCAGGAATGGTGCCTAGCGTTAAGTCAGGGGCTCTGCCCCGCACTGTCTCAGCTCATTTGTGAGTGGCGGCCTTGGTGGCTCCTGGCTTTGCCTTCTCTCTTTTCCACCTTTTGGCTAAATCACCCATGATTGGTCCTTTCCCTAAATGCTAACCATGGAGGTTAGACCTCAGGGCAGCCAGAACCCTGACTGAGCAAGGGGAGGTTGACTCTCTTGTCCACAGTGAGCTTCCGTAGAGATGACTAGCTCTTGTGTCTCTGTGTCTGCCTCCTTAGGCCATCACTGCCAAACTGAGCGGGTGGGCTGGGGCCGGCTGAGCCGAGGGATAGCAGCGCCTGCTAGGCAGCAGTAGGTACACTTCCCACCCCAGCCCCAGCTCGGAGGAAAGAAAGGATGTGTCAAACACAGAAAGCTGCCTGACAGTCGTCAAAGGTGGCTTCCCACCCCAGCCCCAGCTCGGAGGAAAGAAAGGATGTGTCAAACACAGAAAGCTGCCTGACAGTCGTCAAAGGTGGCTTCCCACCCCAGCCCCAGCTCGGAGGAAAGAAAGGATGTGTCAAACACAGAAAGCTGCCTGACAGTCGTCAAAGGTGGCGCCTCTGCTTTTTGCTTACCTCCCTTGCACAGGTAGCTGGGCTGCACTTGCTCTGCTGCTGCGGCGGCGGCGGCGGCGGCGGCGGCAAGAAGTCAGGTTCCCAAGCTCAGGCAGCTGGCCGGGCCTTGCCCTGTGGCAGCAGTTCTCAACCTTCCTCATGCTGGCCCTTAATACAGTTCCTCATGTTGTGGTGACCCCCAGCCATAAGATGATTTCCTTGCTACTTCATAACTATAAATTTGTTGCTATTATGAATCATAGTGCAATATCTGATATGCAGGATATTAGATGTGTGACCCCTGGCTTCCAGGGGCGAGGGTTCCCCACAGTGACCTCTTTCTTCCTTAACTTCCTTCATGATACCAAGTTGCTACTTCAGGAGGTATATTTATCCCCAAACTGGCAGAGCCAAGACCCATTGTGGGGCTAGAGAGAACATTCTTTCTTTCTCTCACCACTCCTCCAAAGAATAAAGGAAAGCTGTGAGTTTTGCCGTTATTCATTCTTTGGACTTCAACTATATAAAGAACTTGAATGCTGCCAGGTGTGGTGGCATATACCCATAATTCCAGCTCTCAAGTGACTGAGTCAGTGTTGAGAGTACCAATGTTGAGAGTACCAGGGCTAATACATAGTAAGACTCTGCCTCAAAAGGGGAAAAATGAAAAAAAAATGATGTTATATTTGAATGTTTTGAAGACCTAGGAAGTCGGAGGCCTGACCTCTCTGAATGAATGAAATGAATCCAGCTTGAGTAAAGAGCTCAGACATTTAAAAGCTTGAGCAAAGGAGACTGAGGCTAAGGCCCGAGTCTGAGATCAAGTGTTTGGAATTTCATCCTAGACCTGGGACAGGCAGAGCTGTAGCAATGCACGAGCAATCTAAGAAGGACAGATTGCTACAGGGGCCTGGGACACATCACCCACCTAAACAGCAGACCTTCAGAGGCGGCTCCTTCTCACCCTCACACACCCCTCCAGCCTCCTGTCTCCTTTCATACCCGGCTCCCCTTCCTCCCTTCTTACCATCTAGCAGGCCCCTACTACGGGGCCGGTGTCCGCTGTGGGCTGAGGGATCTGAAAAGGAGCACAGTGCCATTGTTGTCTCTTAGGACCTCCATGGAGGAGGCCAATGCACACAGTTGGCTAGGGTAAGGTTCTGGGAGTTGTCAGCAAGACTGTCCACCCATTTCTTTTGTGCACTTTACCCTTTTTTATTGTTAAGAAATGATAGCGGGCCAGCATGCCTGCAATCCCAGCACTTGGGAGGTAGAGGCAGGAGAATGTGTAGTTCAAGGCCAGCCTGGGCTATAGAGCAAAACCATGTCTCTAAAACATGGTGGGCCAGCAGGAAGGCTCAGGAAGTAAAAACACTTACCCCCAAGCTTGACAGCTTGAGCTCAGTCCTCTGAACCCATGTAGCAAAAGGAGAAAACTGACTCCCACATATTGTCTCTGATCTACACACACACACACGACTAAAACAATGAATAAAAGACACCACTGGGTGTGGTGGCACACATTTTAATCCCAGTACTCAGGAGTCAGAGGCAGGAGATCTCTGAATTTGAGGCCAGCCTGGTCTATATAGTGAGCTTAGGGACAGCCAGGGCTATGTAGAGATAGAGACCCCGGTAGGTACTCAGTATAGCAGGACATCCTGGGGTAGAGATCTCTTTTTGAATGAACAGAGGGATGACCCAACCTGGTGTTCACACATCTAACCACTTTCCACCAAGATTTAAATTCCAGGTTGTCATCAATGGTCGAGAGTTTCCCCCAGCTGAAGCCGGCAGCAAGAAAGTGGCCAAGCAGGATGCAGCAATGAAAGCCATGGCCATTCTGCTTCGGGAAGCCAAAGCTAAAGACAGTGGAAAACCAGAAGAATTATCGCACTGTCCCATGGACGAAGACTCGGAGAAGGTAGGTGCTCTTCCCCGGGACAGTAACCCTCGATTGCTGTGGGTCAGGATCTGACAGACTCTGAAAGCTATCCTGGCTCAAATAGTCATCTTAGCTATTTTAATTGTTGGAACACCTGGCCCATTGCCAGATTAACAATTATGGGCTAGCCAGTAAGAAACAAGCAAACGGCCAACAGTTTCATAATTAATATAGCCTTCTGTGTGTTATTTGGGAACTGCAACTGTGGCAGAGTCCAAGCAGCTGGTGGAGGAAAACTACATGTTACAGAACAGAACTTATAGAACAGATAATTAAAAGGGTTTCTTAGATGGGCACTTGGTGTGGTCAGAGTGGGCCAGTGAGGGCCGTCTCCCAGCTGGGAGGCTGCAAACTGGTAGCTGCTGAGCCTGGGTGCCTTGTCAGTCCCAACCTGGCCCAGAGGGCTTGAGCAGTTCTCAGAGAGCTGCTCTGATGCCCAGAAAAGCCAGTTCTAATGTCAGGGAGGGAGGCAGCAGCGACAGTACAGATATTCTCAGTGAGAGGGAAGGCCAGGCGAGCATAAAAAAAGCTTTCAGCCAGTCAGGGTGACACCCGGCTTTAATCCCAGCCCTCGGGAGGCAGAGGCAGGCGGATCTCTGTGAATCTGAGGCCAGCCTGGTCTACAGAGTGAGTCCAGGACAGGCTCTAAAGCTACAGAGAAACCCTGTCTGGAAAACAAAAACAACCAAAGCTTTCAAGGCCATATCCTTTTATCTGGGCTACCAGCATGGGGTGGTCTCCTCATATCAGCTAAGCTATTGGGACAGTCCCTCAGATATACCCACAGGCCAGTCTGATCCAGACAGCACCTCACTGAGACACCTTTCCTTTGGTTTTTTGTTTGTTTGTTTTTGTTTTTGTTTTTTGCTGTGTCAAGTTGACAGTTAAAAAGCAACCATCACAGATCTTGAATCCACTGTCCTCTCTTAGAAGATAAGTCACCCCTTCCTGTGCCCACAACAGCTCCTTTGGAAGACCACTCCTAACATTTAGTTGTCTTAAAAGAATGACACTTAGCTAGGCACAGTGACTCGGTAACTGCAGTACTTGGCAGACGGAGGCAGGAGGATTACCTTGAGGTCAAGGCCAGCTTGGGCTGTAGGAGACATTATTTCAGAAAAACAGGGGTGGGAGATAAAGTGTCACCACCGCACTGCCCTCTGCTGTGGTGATCTGATGAGACTTTTGTCTCTGGGTGTGTTTTGTGCTTTCTTCTTCCCTTCAGCCAGCAGAGTCCCAGACCTCCAGCTCCTCGGCAACACTATTCTCTGGGAAGAGCCCGGTGACCACACTGCTCGAGTGTATGCACAAACTAGGGAACTCCTGTGAATTTCGCCTGCTGTCCAAAGAAGGCCCCGCCCATGACCCCAAGTATGTCTTATGTGTGGCGTCTCCTGTGGAGGTCTCCCCCAACGTAGCAAAGACACGTACTCCTTGCGGCCTCAGAGATGAGAAGTCGTTCCTCTTTATGGTCTCTCCCGTCACAGTCTGGAAAGGGCCTTCAGGGCCTGGCTGCTGCTATGAAGCAGAGTCTGGGATTAGGAGTTCGAAGGGACCGAGGACTGGGTAGGGTCACGGCACAGACAGCTCGGTGGTCACTGTTGGGACAGAAAGGTTGAGAATCTGGGCATGCCATAGCAGCCCCCTGCCTGGGGTCTCTGTGCACACACTTGTTCAAAAGAAGACTCCTGGAGGGTATGAGGAGTGACGCTTGCATGTTGAGGGGTTAGCCGGGTCACGAGACTGGGGCAGTGGATGGGCGGGGCGCACTCGCTCTCCAAGGCCAAAGTGACTTTACAGCGGCGATGTGTGAGAGCTACAGGCAGTGGAGGATGGCAGCTGGCAGATCACCTCAGCCCAGCCCTCGTGACCCTTTGCTCGTCGTTCCCTCCCAGGTTCCAGTACTGTGTAGCCGTAGGAGCCCAGACTTTCCCCACCGTGAGTGCCCCCAGCAAAAAAGTAGCAAAGCAGATGGCGGCAGAGGAAGCCATGAAGGCTCTGCAGGAGGAGGCAGCCAATTCAGCTGATGACCAGGTAGAGGGCACTGTCCTGCTCAAGTTACAGGTCATTTGTTACAGAGTGGGCAGAGTAGGCTTGTCTCTGCGTCCTCTGAGTTTTCTGACGTTTCTGCTTCCCCTTGGACTAATTCTCCCTTAGTCTGGAGGAGTGAACACGGAATCACTTGATGAGTCTGTGGCACCCAACAAGATCAGGAGGATTGGTGAGCTCGTCAGGTACCTGAACACCAACCCCGTGGGCGGCCTGTTAGAGTACGCTCGCTCCCATGGCTTTGCTGCTGAGTTCAAGCTGATTGACCAGTCCGGACCTCCTCACGAACCCAAGTGAGTGCCTTAGTCCTGTCAACAACTGTGTGTCAACGGTTGAGGGTGGCCTGTCACCTCAGGGTAAGAAGTGGCGTACATGAACGTCTATCATTTCCAGGTACCCTTCTGTGAACAGTTTTATTCTGTGCGTGTGGATGTTTTGCCTGCATGTATGTCTGTGTGCTGTGTGTTTGCAGTGCCCATGGAGGCTAGAAAAGGCCAAATTCCTTGGAACTGAGGTTACAGATGTTAGTGAGCTGCCAACTGGGTGCTGGGAATCAAACCCAGATCCTTGGAGGAACCATCTCTAGCTCCCCCCATATCTAATTTTTTTAATTTCAAAAAGTAACGAGAAAAATCTTCATAAAAGTAACATGGGGCAGGGGCACTAGGGAGATGAATGGGGTGAGGAGCACTAGGGGCTCTGCAGAAAATCCAGGTTTGGTTCCCAGCACCCACAGGGTGACTCACAGCTATCTGTAACTCCAGTTCCAGGGGATCTGACATCCACCTCTGACCTCCATGGACACCAGACACACACATGGTACATTTCCATCCATGTGGGCAAACATTCATTGCCTATGTGGGGTGTGATTTTTAATTTTTTAAACTATCTTTTGGATCAGTAAGATGGCTCATTGGATAAGGGTACCAACTCTGATGACCTGAACTCTAGCTCTAGAACCCACATTAGAGAAGAAAGGACTGATTTCACAGATTGTCTCTGGGTACCATACGTGCACTGTGTGTGTGTGTGTGTGTGTGTGTGTGTGTGTGTGTGTGTGTGTGTGTGTGCATGCATGCGCTCTTCTCCCTAAAAAAAAAACACTTAACTAAAACTAGTATCTTGCTATTTTAAAATTGCTTTTGTCATTGATGTTTCCATGTCCATATATATGTGCATTTCATTGTGAACTGCTTCATTTAACATACCCCATTTTCTTTTAGAGTGTACTCTTTAGTCTTTTAGAGCTTTGAAAACAATAAAAACATTAGCCCTTTGATGATTATGACCCAATTTAGAGCCCTCAAACTTAAAGGGGCCCAGAAGAGCTCCTGACTACCCCCATCTCAGGGTACCTTTGTCCCGTGTGGAAGCTGGCTGGGAAAGAGGACATGGGCCCCTCCTCCCCCTGGCCAGCCTCCCTCTCTTTAAGCTTGGTCATGGGATAGTGGGAGCTTGCAGTGAAACCTCCTGTAATATTCTGGGAATTCAGTCATTCACTTGAAACATAAGAAGCTCTGAACTGGAATTGAAGACATGAGGATGCAGCAGACCTAGGACTGTAACAGTGTAGGACTTGCCATGTGGCTTGTCCTGGGAGGCAGATGCTAATTCAGTAGCTATTTTATTTCCGACTCCTGGGGTCCTTCCTTCGTGTAATTGTG